TTCCTTTAATTATTGAAGTTAATTATTTATTTTAATTGCTTATATTGTGTTGTCTAATATTTAATTATTTATTTGAGTTGTTTAATTTTAATGTATATTATGTATTTAAAATTATTTCTTTGAAATGCTTAATATAAATGTTTTATTATTTGCTAATTTAGTTTAATTACTTATTTTATGTTAAGTAATAGTAAAATAAATAATTAAATATTAAATAAGTAATATACATAAAGAATTTAAATAAATATTTAAACATTTGTAAAATAATAAAAATAAGCAATTAAATTAGGAAATTAAAATATCAATCAAATTAATTATTAACAATGCAATTAAAATAAATTATTAAATATTAAATAAGCAATATGTATAAAGAATTAAATAAGTATTTAAACATTAATAAAAAATAAACAATTAAATTAAGTGTTAGTAAAATAATTAAAATAAGCAATTAAAATATTAAAATAAACGATCAAAATAAATGTTAGTAAAAAAATTAAAATAAATAATTAAATATTAGATAAGTAATAAACATAAAGAATTTAAATAAATATTTAAACATTTGTAGAATAGTAAAAATAAGCAATTAAATTAGAAAATTAAAATATCAATCAAATTAATTATTTGCAAAGAAATTAAAATAAATTATTAAATATTAGATAAGCAATATGCATAAATAATTAAAATAAGTATTTAAACATTAATAAATAATAAATAATTAAATTAAGTGTTAGTAAAATAATTAAAATAAATAATTAAATATTAAATAAGCAATATGTATAAAGAATTAAAATAACTATTTAAACATTAATAAATAATAAATAATTAAATTAAGTGTTAGTAAAATAATTAAAATAAATAATTAAATATTAAATAAGCAATATGTATAAAGAATTAAAATAACTATTTAAACATTAATAAACAATAAACAATTAAATTAAGTGTTAGTAAAATAATTAAAATAAATAATTAAATATTAAATAAGTAATATACATAAAAAATTTAAATAAATATTTAAACATTTGTAAAATAATAAAAATAAGCAATTAAATTAGAAAATTAAAATATCGATCAAATTAGCAAATTAAGTGTACAAAAATAGTAATTTACATTCATTTCCTTTATTCCGTTATCGGTTAATTATTGCATATAGTAGCAGTGTGTTAGTTTATTTTTGTAATATTTTTGTTTATCAATTACCTATCAACAAAAATTTTGGTTTATCAAACATCATTTGCATAGGGCTCTAATATTTGAAATTTTGCAAGATGGAATATCATCGGAACGATGCTGTCAGACAGATTCCTAGTAAAGTTACGTCGAATTGTAACTTTACCAGCTTCATTTTGGTATTAGATTTTCTGGATGAGGAGCACGCGGACATATTACGTTGATCATGCTTATGACCATTGTATTTGTTGCGTGATGTACAGTGGTCTGGGCAGCTACTCGATACCCTGCTATGTCGGTTGCTGAAGCCATTTAACGGAGACACCCTTCATTTTGATCCTGGGGGCAAGGTAGCGATGTTTTTCATATTTGAGTTTGCCCTTGTCATTAGACTGCGATGTACAGACGAATAAGAGGTGAGGGCTCGTGTTCTGAGGAACAGGAGACTGTTGAATGAATATTTTCGTGGACAGACAATAGTTACTGTAGCGCAGTTGGGAGATGCATTAAGGAGATGTGATCATATGTCTGATAGGCTGAAGTTGGGTTTGGTGCTTATCATCGAGAGCGTACTCCGGTGTCATCACAATAAAACATCGATTGACATTTTCAATTTAGAAGTTATTGATGACATTGATGTCTTCAACAACTATACATGGGGCCGAAGATGTTTTCTAGATACATTACGCATATTCAGGAGGGGGTTTTCGACGCCTAAGGGGGATAAGCCCGAGCGCAAGTTGGATGCATATAGACGGCCGTTGGCGCTGCAGGTATATGTTTAAGTTAATGAATTACCTATGCTTTTTTCCTTGAACTCTATACATCATAATTGTAATTGCTGCAGATATAGGCGTACGAGACTGTCCTCATCTTGGCCAGTTGGTATGCGAGGAGAGGGGAGACAAGCTGCCCTCGGATGCAACAATGGCGAGCACAAAACAAGCCGCTTACCAGACAATTATCAGCTCTCATCGATAATCTTGAGGTACGTATTATACATTTGCGATTTATGTTGTATGTCATTTTACAATCTCAATACATAGTCATTAACTGTGAAATGTCAAAATGTCAGTTTGAAGTTCTCACTGAGTTGGCACCATCGATCGAGAAGGAGAGTTAGCTTTATATTCGCGAATTGTATGTTCCGACTGCGCATGATGATCAGATGCCTGAGTCCAGGGTAGATCGAGACGGGGTATGTTACTGTGCAGGATTTGTTGAATATCACTTTAATCTTGTAATTAAGTGCTTCACTTGTAATATTTATTTTTTCAGGAGAGTTGTTCAGTATTACCTCCGTCGATGATGTCCGACGAGGATGTCACCTCCACCGAGAAGATCACATCCGGCTACGTCAGAGGTTCAGATGCCTGAGTCCAGTGTCGATCGAGATAGAGCACGTTACTTAAAAATAATTTATCAATTGTCGTTTCAATTTTGTGTTAAGTTATTCATTTGTAATAGTTATTTTTTCAGGAGGGTCATCCAGTATCACCTCCTACACTAGCCACCGTGCTTCGATGATTGATTTGTTCGAACTCTTGATGGAGATGAGAGAAGACATAGCAGAGTTACGGGATGATGTCGCAACGCTACAAGCTAGGTTAGGAGACTTGGAGAGTTATGATATGATGTCGCGATGTTACGAGTTAGATTAGGAGACCTTCATGCTGAGGTTGCAACGATGCGAGGCGACATAGCAGGCTTGCGTGGGACGTGCGATTATTGGGATTGAGGAGATGGCGGAGGAACAGGTCAGTACTGGGACGAAGGGGTTGACAGAGGGGCTGGCGGCTATCATGACGGAGAGGTCGGTGGTTATTAGGGGGAAGGGGGTCAGATGGGATATGTTGACTCATCGTGGTCTTCGGTTGCTGCATTTGATTCATTTTTAAAAGACACGATTGGGATGGAGGAGGCGGAGTGGATACTCGAGGTAGAAGGGGTACCTGAGAAGACGATACCCAAGATGAACGGGGTGCCCGTGCAGAGAATACCCGAGGATGCCGAGGGAGTACCGGAGGAGAAGAGGGTGCTGGAGGTGGAGGTGGTACCTGAGAGGACGTCACCCAAGGTAGAGGGGATACCCGAGGAAGTGGGGGTACCCGTGCACCTAGGGATGCCGGGGGTACAGGAGGAGGAGAGGGTGCCGAAGGTGGAGGTGGTACCCGAGAGGACGCTAGACTCGTAGGACGTAGTCTTTGTGTTGGAGAAGGTAGTCCCGATAGCGGGCAAGGGGGTGGTCCCAATGGCCGGGGAGATGGAGATCCCTGAGACGGAGGAGGAGAGGACGCGTGCTGTTGACGTACCGAAGCTAGTGGTTGGCAAGATGCCGAGGGTGCTATCACAGTACGTCGTTTCTCCCTTTACCGCGAAAGCGAAGAGGAGGAGGTTCGTCGACGGGACGAATCTCAATTTATTCAGGGAGGTGGACCACGCCAAGTGGAAAGCCTTCGAGACGAAGTGGAGAGCAATTAGGCCCAGGTGAGTTTTGTGTTTTATATAATTAGTACGGTACACAGACGCTGACACATGTATACTTCTTGTAACTAACATTTTTATTCTTATTGTTTCAGGGCCAGCTGCACAATTGCTCAGAAGACAATCTCAAACGCTTACAAGTGGTTCCACGACATCACCACTTCGAGGGCTTAGCTCGTCGACGATGTAAACAAAATTAAAATATTGTGATTTATTATGTATATTCAATTTTGATTTTTGAATCAAATTCATGGGATAACTCATTTTTTATTGGTGTTTCTTGATGTAGCACATTAATTTGGCCATGGATTTGCTACGAGATCAAGCTGAAAGACATCCAAAATCGTTCAACATTCCTGGCCGACTCATATTGAACATCGATTTCATCCGTGCTATTGACATTAAGTACTAGTCGCTCCAAGCTATGGATAAGGAGTACACGGTGCCAACATATATGATGAAGTGGGTCGTAGGAATGTGGTCGAGTGTCAGAGGAAAGCCATGGGAGGACTGTATGTATCTGTACATACCAGTGTGTGTGAATCATCACTACATTGTAGTGGAAATCGTATTCGTCGACTCTATTATGTACGTGTACGACCCCGATCATTCATGCTTGACACAAAGTTAGCTTGAGCGAAATTTGGAGTCGGTGTCTATGATCATTCCCATGATGGTTAGATGAGCGAACATCACTGTGTAGGATAGACTGGCCATCGTACGGGACGCGACGAGGGCGATGCAGCAATTATCGTAAGTGTTTGTAATTTTATTTTTTTAATTTACAACATAGGTTCTAACTAGATGGTGATGTTCTAATACAATATTGTTTAATTGTAAGTGTGATTGCGACATGTTTGTTATCTAGTACATAGAATTTTTGAGTGTATCACATAATGTTGATGCAATCAATCAGGCATGGATACAAAATTAGAGAAATAAATTAGCATGCGATTTATTTGAATTTAATGGGTATTCGTAAATAATTGCACATATTTTTACATTTATTTAAACATTATACATTTCATTCATTCATTTGTAATTATGAAAGAATTGTAAAATGTTAATTATTTATGTAATATTTAATTATTTATTTTACAGTTTGTGTCGATTTATAATGTTTGTATGTATTGTGGAGAACGCAGTGTGTCTAAAAAAATTTCGAATCTACGATTTCAAATAATTAATATAAATAATATGCATAAATAATGTTGGTAACAAATGAAACTAATGAATGAAATATTTAAATAAAAAGCTAAATATAATAATTAACATAAATAATATGCTTAAATAATGTACGTCAATGTTATAAATAATTACATTGTCAATAATTATTAACAAATGTAAAATTAAACATCTGTTACACCGTCATGCAGAGGAATCTGACTTGAACAAAATCTTCTAGTATGCCCTATTACACCGCACTTACGAGGCTGGAGAAAATCTCCGATAGATGGTATTCTAGACATACGTGTATATCCAGGAGTACGTGGTCCGACTGCTGGTGGCAACAAGTTATTCAGTGAGAGAATGTGGTCGAGAACTTCCCACTCGACTTCGTTTGGTACAGAAAATATTGTTTCGATATACGCTACTCTCCAATAATCAATCATGTAATAAGCACTGCATAAAGTGTGTGGTGGAAATCCTCTATGTATAGCCACTGCCACTGCATGTGTATATGGAGAACTCTCCAACTGAAACCGTCTACACGTGCACATGTTATCATTCAAGTCCACGATGTATCCAAAATTACGTACACATCTCACGGAGAAATGAAATTGATCCAGTGGTTCTACATATACCTTTTTTGTCACATCTAGAGTTTTGAAGAGTTTATCTTCCTGAGCTGAGTTTAGCAAACTTGTACAACTCTGTGATTCCTCACATCGATCATGAAACAACTGTTGTAGCTTGTCACGAATGTTATCAATCATTGCGATAATTGGTAACTCTCGATCTTTTTTGAATAAAGCATTAAGCGACTCTGCATTGTTTGATGTCATCATGTTGTATTGATGTCCTGGAAAATGTGATCGTGCCCAATATTCGATCCCCATCTCTGTTAGATACTCCCATGCAGCATACGATTTACTGTCTATTTCGACTATGAACTTCTCAAACTATTCATAATTGTAAACCTTTGTAGCTCTCCTATACAACGCAACGATCCCCTTGCCTCGATACTTGGTCTTCAAGTATCCTTGTATATGGTACATACAATAACCATGATGTGCCTCGGGGAAGACTTCAGTGATATCATTTATTATTGATTGCCCTCGATCGGTTATGAATGCAGGGTTTTCCACATCCTCAATTACTTCCCTCAACTTCGTGAAAAACTAACTCATCGTTAGATCATTTTCTCCGTCGACTATGCCGAACGCAAGAGGGTAATTTTGGATGTTGTCATCTTGATATGTTGCAATAATCAACTTGCCCCCGTATCTCGTCTTAAGGGTTGTATCGTCGACTAGAATTAGAGGTCGCATTGCATTTCGAAATCCTCGAACGCATTGTCCAAGGGCGATAAAGAAATACTTGAAGCCATTTTCGTCATCCTTCTCAATAAAAATTACCGACTCAGTATTAATTATTCCCATGTTATAGCAATACCTGACCAATGTAAATAAATAATAATTATAATTTAGATAATCTATTAAATATTAAATGAACAGAGAAATAAACAATTCAATTAAATAAACAATTAAATTACATAATTATATAAATAATTGAAATAAAATTATTAACAATTAAAATAACAATGAAATAAACACTTAAACAATGAAATACCTGACCAATTTAGCATAACTCTCCTCGGTCGAATCCATCAAGTCTTCCAATGCGTATTTTTTGGCCTTCCAAGCCTTCTAATAGCTCATGACCACCCGTACCCTCGTCGAACATCATTAATGATGTTTGAAGGTCTGTAGATCGTTCGTGGGTTCTGAAACTTGTGCATTATTTCTCGACCAATAAACCATGATCGGGCCTGCCTATGATCATTTCGACTGATACTCACTTCACAAGTATGTTCCCATGCATACTTACAAACTTCAAAAAACTCATTCGTGTCCATCTTCGTCGCTCGCAAACGTCAATGGTAACTCTCGTCAACGTAGATAATTGTATACGTCAACTTGTTTGATTTCTTCACTTTAAACTCGAAGTTATGTTTTAAAGCAATCCGTTGCATAGCTTGCAATTCTTTCTTTGATTCGAACAATTGCTCGACATATACATCTTCATCATCGAGAACCACACGCGAACAATTAGAGGACCGTGTACTTGGTCCGACCTGTGAGCTCCCACCTGACTCATATCTCCTACGGGATAAAGCAATCAAATCCTCGTTTATAAATGCACTTTCATTTTCGTTGTCTTCAATTGCCGATGGAATTCCGTGTGTAACAGTGTGATCATGGTGAGTAGTAGTGGTATTGAGAATAACCACATCATTTTCATGAACAACCTGAATTTTATCCCAAACATCATTTACATTACGATTCTCTTCATCGGAAACTTCGTGTTCACCGTCGGGGAAATTCTTCCTCAATAAAGTTACGCAAATAGGAGTCGACTTTCGACCTTGGTTCAATTTAATTAGATGCTTCATCTCCACTTCAGAAGTAACTTTCATAGGTAGAATTGGAATGGTTGAATGCTTATGAAACAAAAATCTCAATTCCATATCGTACTGAGAGGGATCGACATTAAGCATGTTTTGTATATCATAGTACATTTCTGTAAATGATGTACTCCTTGTTATAAAAATACTTTAATCCCATCTCCTTCACTCGTCCATTTCCATTCCCACTGAGTATTTATTTCTGTTGAAATTCACCGAAATAACAAATTGGGACACATGCTAATGTCAAATCTGTCACAAATTAAAAATATTAAAAAATAGATTAAATATAAGGAATTAATATATAATTTTTTAAATTGTTCATTTCATATTTAATTTAATTTTTACTTAAAATAATTCATTAATTACTTTAATTGTTTTAAAAAAAATTATTTCAATTAATAATAAATATTCATTAATATTTACTTCAATAAACAATATACATTAATTATTTTAATTGTTTCAAAAATATTTATTTCAATTAATATTAAATATTCATTAATATTTACTTCAATAAACAATATACATTAAATATGAACAAATAAATTATAAAATGTTAACCATTTTAAAAAAAAGGGGCTGGCTGTTTCCAATCGGCCCAGGATGTGCGGGCAGGCTGGATAAGTGCCGAACCATTTTTTTCCAACGAAATAATATTTAAATATTTACTTTACAGACAACTATAAATTTTTCTTGTAATAATATGCATACAGATGAATTTTTTTTTTCGTTTTTGCTAAAAAGATTATACATCTATTTAATACCGTAATATTTCATCTGCCTTTGTCGAAATAAGATTTAAACAATCAAACAATATACTAATTTAACTAAAACAAAATTTAAAATATGTATTTACACATACAAATTTTGAGTGCTGACTATGAGTAATAATTTTTTGTTGAACATTTGATAATTTTGTGAGATTTCAATGTTTTAGCAGATGGAAGGGGAAATTTCTTTTTAACTATATTGAAGAAATTGATAAGCAAAATTGATTTTGAAATTTACATGGGGAAGTGATTGAATTTATTTAAACTTTTAAGGATATTATTCTCTTTCAAAGAATTAACATATTTTTTGTAATTATGGAACATAATAAGGGCACAATTGTCTTTTTCAACACAAGAGGCCAATGTGGTGAATGCAAAAAATTAAAAAAAAATGGTCAAAATGCAAAACATGTCGTTTGACTGAGCCAATTTCAAAAGTACCTCGCCTCCCTACTGCAGAAACATTATTAGGAAATAGGATTATATGCAGTGTTCTAAAAGTCACGTTTAGGTGGCGTCAAGGTGTCGCTTAGACACGATGCGTGGTGGAAATGCCAAGCTACTTGACTTGGCGTCTTATTTGGCGGTCAACGGCAATCGTTGGCTGCTAACGCACGCCTATGCGTGATTATGGGCGCCTAGGTGTGAATTATAAGAAATTTAAATTTTTTTTACAATTCTTTTAATTTAAAACTTAAGGTTGATTTCTTCACTTCGTCTGCCCTAAACTCAAAATAGTCGCTTGAAGTATTTACGTTTGAAACTTATTTTTTTGTTGAAAACATAGAAAAAAAAGTATGAATTTCCTATAAATCTATTTTAGATATTTGAAAGGTATTATTTTTAATTATTACATGATTTTTTTGATCGAATAAAAATTAAAATAATATTAAAAAAAGAAAACGCATTTTATGCTTTTTACGTCCATGCCTCGCCTAAGTTCGTTTGGCCCATAGCTTGGCCTCCACATATTATTACACATTACGCTTTTTAGAACATTTATTATAGGAAATGTAATGATTATTCAAATCTACAACAAAATTAAAAGAACAAAATATAAACAATGTCACTTGACTCAAGTTTTATAGTAAAATGCTTCTTTTGGATGATGTTAAAATGATCCACCTAAAATAAAATAAATGAGGAAGAAGAAAAGAGATAGATATTAGTGTTAAATGGGGCGAGCCGAACTTCAACTTGCCTATAGTGAAGCTCTATGCTCGACTCCATTGGTCTGAAGAGTCAACTCGCTCAATCAAAGTACGACTCGTCAAATTATTATTATTATTATTATTATTATTATTTATTATTATTATTTTTTTTTTTGGTGAAGATGACATATTTCACTCATAATGATGAGTTGACGAGCCGACTCACATGACTTAGCACCTCCAGAGATAGACAAGTTGCTTTAGCATTGTTGGTGAAGATGACATATTTCACATAATGATGAGTTGACGAGCCGACTCACATGACTTAGCACCTCTAGAGATAGACAAGTTGCTTTAGCATTGTTGGCTGCTCCGCCGACTTGTAATTTCTATAAACTGAAGTAGTACTAGTAAGAGTGATTATTGGGCGCGTGCATTAGGATTTGGTGTATATATGTAAGAATCGGATTTTTCCAAGAATTTTATATATAAGAGAAAGGACAAATGGGATTAACGGCTATAATCCCTCTTATATATGAGCCGTTAATTGGAAATAGGAAAGCGATAAGACGGGGGGAGCGAAGAGGGCAAAAGGTCAATGTGGCTCTCGACTTTTCCATTGTTTATGTCTTTCAAATAATTGCTATATAATCGCCCACTAAAAATCGGGTTGACAGATTCTTTATGATGGATTTAATAATTATAGAAACTTTATTTGCCATAGTCGAAATAACATGTCTAATTTTTAACATATTCAATACGTTGATTAAAAAAAATTGATCATAATTAAAGGAAAGATATGTGACATTTTTATTTGTAATGTCTAATGTAAATACTAAAATATGTCTGTTCGTGAAATTACAAGCCGAAAAGAGACACCCTAATCCCATAAATATTCATTCAAGAAGAGTTCCAAAAGATGTTGATAGTAAATAAGAAGATTGGTCACGTAGAAAGACGATAATATATTTGTATTCACATACATGAGAATTATATAAGAAGGAGAATAATCTTTGATTTGATGATGCCATGTGAATTACTAGAAACATGTAATTTGTATGGTTAACCCAATAACGAAAGTTTTGTAAGGGGATTGGAGCAGACTACCATGAGATAAAAGATCTTCTTTAATAACATAGAGGAAGAATGAAGGAAATAGCTTATCGAGATAGTCATATTTGTTTTGATAAATATGCTCTTCAGGCACTTGAACCTGCTTCCTTTGCGCTTTTCATGGTCTAATCACCATACTATTCACAATTGCTATAATTGAATCCATAGAAGAGGAAGAACCAACAAAGTGACCTCACCTCCTCCAATGAAGTGCAAGTACTAATATATATCTTTTGTGCAATTACAAGCCAAAAAGAGACATACTAATTCAATAATTTTCGGTAAGCATATTTCAATCAGTGCACTTGCACATTGGGACTTATTGAATTAAAAAATTTTGAGATTAAACATTCCTTTAAGATCGTTTTATCAATCAAGAAGAAAGTCACATTAATTGATCCAGTCTACTTTCAAGTGATCCTACCCAATTATTGGATATCGGTGGTAAATAAAATACATATATGGTATGTTAGAGAAAAGTATTATAAATTCATTGACTCTGTGATCTTATATATTCTGATAGCGTACACTTTTGACGTTAGTGGAAAAAACAAAAAAACTGCTAATTAGATTGGGTATTATAGGGTTGGCTAGACATGCTTTGATTATTGAAATTTGAATAATATATATTCAATTAGGTCCCTGTGGTTGCTCTGTAAAGTATTAACAGTGAATTACTTACTATTTAAAAAAATGACTTAGTTGTAATTACTATAAAGTTCTAAACTTAATTGTAATTGTTATGAATGTCATAAATTTAATTGTAATTGAAATTGAAATTCTAACACTACATTATGAACTAATTGAATTTGGACTTTAATTGATATGCCTATTTGAATTTCAATCGGAACTCATATTTGAATTTTATTTGAAAATTTTTGGAACTATTTTATTTCTATAAATAGAGACTATATTGAATCAAGAATCCATAACAATATACAGAATAAATCTTCACAAGTGTTTAAATTCAGAGATAAAATAATTATTTCCATTCTTTTATTCATCTTTCTAGTCCGGAATTAGTTTCTCCGCTTAATTAAGGTTAGAAGCATCGAGTTCTTAAAAATAAAAGTTTAAAAATTCATAATCCAAAAAGTTGAAAGTCTGTGGTACAGTCCAATTCAAGAGTTAATTATCAAATTTAGGTAAAATTTTGAATTTTTTGTTCTCGATATAACGTACTTGATAATGGGGGTTAAGATTTTTGGGTGTTCGGGAGTTTCATTCTTTTTTTGATAAGATAAGACTTAGACATCAATTTAGGAATTGATTATTATTTTATAGATAAAAATGTCTTAAGTTTTGGATTAAAACTTGTGTTGTGATGAGTTCATCAATTGAAAGGATCAATATAACTTCTAATTAAAATCGATTTTAAAATATCAGAATTTAAGTTTAGTAATAAAACAAATGATCATCATTATTGAGAGGAGTAATCTAAGTTCTGATATGTTGATCTAATTTCGATGATTAGTCGATATGAAATTTATACTTGCAAAATGATAGCTCGTTTGATTATATCGATCTTGCAATTGATGTGCTCTCAATGTATCCTTTTTACAAATATAACTAGCATCAAATGAAGTACACGATCTACCAAAGAATATGCTCAAGTACGGGAGCAAGACCATAACGTGCCACCTTCCTTGGAGGAGCCCCAAAGAATATACCAAACTAAGGAGACCTACGCCCCACCTACCCCATCTGCACATCCAAAATAAAATGAAAGAAGAACATGATTTTTTAAGTAGTTACTACATGAAAACAATGTTATAGTGTTGGAGCTTCATTATTTTTATTTTTGTATAGCTTTTTCTTTAAATTTTTTCCTTTTATTTTTTGTTATTTTACTTAACTTATATAGCAACATCATCACACAAATTTAACAAATTTTAGATGAAAATTACCGAAAGGGACCAATTTTGCCAATTTATCAAAAGTTGGGGACAAAAATCAGATGAAAAAAAGTCAAGGACAAGATCATAACTCAGACTAAAGTTAGGGACGAAATTTGCAATTTTCCTTTTAAATAATAGCACCACGAATACCTACGCACTCTCAACAAAGTTATGACTCAATTTCTTGTAGAAACATGAAGCATCTACAAGCATGCCATTTATTTTAGTGATAAGCTATTGATTATAACATGAAAATTAGACTTCGCAATTTGCATTCTCAACTTTGAAGATTGAGATGTGCAAAGTTTGAATAAATAAGATTGAACCCTAGTTCGATAGGGATTAAATTTTGAATTTGAATTTTAGTCAAAGTCAACAATTAATTTAAATCGCATATTTCATCAAATTCTCAACTTTTCAAACGAATATTTCATTAACTTTTATCAAAATTTAATAAATTAATTTTAATCCCATCTATTTTCATATCAAATTATGCAAATTGAGCCCCCTAGGGCATAGTCCAGTAGTGCAAAGGATATGAGTGAGGTTATCTCACGCCTTGCTGGCAGCCGTAGTGTGGGGGTTCGATTCCTGAGAAATGGAATTAGACTCCTTGTAGGCGCAGTGTACAGACAACTCTTATTTCCTAACCTGTTAGAATACATCTCGCGATTTACCTCCCTTTCAAAGTTCTAAGGACGGGATAGTGGGGACCCTCAAAATTGGAGCTCAACCTTCAATTATGCAAATTGAAATCCCCTGAATCGTGATCTGGGGCTTAGCTGCATTCAAGGGTGAATAGGACAATAGGCTCGCAAGTTGTAAGTTATAAAAGGCAAGTAGACTGTCCATTCATATCTACCCCTCTACATCTCTTCAAATGTATTTTGTCCATATTAACTCAAATGGGTCATCAACACTCTGACTGGACACCTACCAAGTGGACACCATATGCCTTTCCAGGTTGGATTTATTGCCTTGCATTGGAAAACATGTGCATAAAATGAGTAATTCTACGTAACACCATTCTAGTCCGCATAGTAGTAGATATTTAATTTTGAATTATGCTATAAATATAGAAGTTTTTAATAGAAAAATTTTATAGACAACACATGACGCGATATAATATGAAGGATGGGAATAAAAGAAGAAAAACAATACATTTATATTTCGCCACGTCAACTTTGGTACAAGTTCTGTTAATCTTTTCCTGTACTTATGACTATATTGATTATTATTATTTAAAAATAAATTTAGAATCGATTATGGAAATGATTTTCCGTCTCTCAATTGGTTTATGCTAAATCAACTTAAAGAAGTCTCCAAGTTGCTTTTTGACCTCATTTTTTTTTTTGAACTTTATCTCCGTTTGATCCCCATTAAATTCAATTACATTACATTTTATTTTTCTCTCTCCTATTTTCAACTACACAATCTTTCATAAAATAATATTACACGTAAATCGAAAATTTTTCCTTCTTTTTCAACCACTCATTTTTCTAAAAAATATTATTCCCCCTATTTTCATTTTCAGGTAACGGGGGTCAAACGAAGGGTGACTAATAACTTCTAACAATTTCTAAACTACATATTTCATCCATTTTAATCAAAATTTACTAAAAATTTAATTTTTAATCGAATCAAAATGGGCTAATTCGATAATTCTAAGCAACTACCATTGACAAAGAAAATTTGGTCTACGAACTTTATCGTGATAAGTTGTGCTGAGATCACAGCATTCTTATGAATGGAAGCATCACTTTCATCATTTCACGAAAATTTCATGTCGAATACGACAAGTAAATGATAAGTGTGGTGAGAATAATACATAAGTATGTACCACTAAATTTGAAGACAATGGAATTCAAAATCGGGACAACCGTCCTTTTTTGTTTCTCTTTTACAATTCAGGTGATGGTCAATATCTTTTTCTTTTATTTATTTCTTTTTTCTGTGGTTGGTACATCACAATAATGTGAAGATATTTTTCATTGCCTTTACATTTGTGGTATATGAGGTCCCTGGAATGGCTATTGGGAGAGCCATTAATTTGTTTTCTTTATCTTTTTTATATCAATAATAAAAAAATTAAGTAATAAATTATTTATTTCAAATCATTTATAACAAATTACTTAAACTTCCACTTTTATTTTTGCCACAAAAAAAAAAATAATAATAATAATAAAATAAAAAAATTGACCCATCCAATTCAATGAGTTCTTAACTTCTTATAATTGTGTATACCCCTACATGACATTTTGGGGAAACCTGGAGGGTTATTTTAAAACCATTAAGGATCAAAACGGAAAATAAAAGAAGAGTAAAAGTGAGAAAGGTCATTGCCGTCCACCGGCCAACTACCACCATACACTCCGTGAAAGCTTTGAACTTCACACTTTCCTCCACCAAACGGCCGCCCAAATAATAAATAAATAAAATTTAGAACTTAAATTAAAAGAAATTAAAAAATAAAAGATAAAACACGGAAAGCCATTTCCCTATAAAAACAAAACAATTCACCATTCTCTCTTTCTTCTTCTCTCTCAATCTCCCATCCACCTCCTCTGTCGGTCGCTTCACCGAATCTCCAGATCTGGAAAACCTAATTTATTACTTTTATTCTCGAAATATATATAATCTTCAGTGTATTGTTGAGCAGAAAGGAAATATTTTGGCCGAATTTTGGAGAATTGCAGGTTGAGTGGCGACGGGGATTACAGCGGTGGCTACAAATGCAGTTTGCCTGAAACCATCGAAGGGATTAATTTGTTCGCTTCAATTTTACCTCAAAAAAATTGTTGCTCAGAGATCTGAGCTGATTGGATCAAGAAACAGAAACGAGGTGGTATTTCCTGAGTTTTTGATAAATCATGCAGCATCAAGATCAGCGGAAGAAGGTTTTGCTTCTTTTCTGAAACACCTCTCTCTCTATCTGCCTATATATATATATATACGCGTTATTCATATCTTCTGTTCAGGGTTTCTTTTTTCTGCTTAAAAAAACGTAGATGTCGTGTTTATATACGAGTTCATACGCTTAAAATTTTCGTAATTACAAATCGAAATTCTTGATCACAAAACTGAGATTTCTCTGAAAGAATTCATCTTCTATCAAGTTTAATTTGAAGTAAATTTAGGGATTCAACCCCCCCCCCCCCAAGGGTTTGTTATGTTGCATTTTCAGTAGTTTTGGGCTTCATTTCACAGGGCATGGAAAAAAGGCTGAAATCTTGAAACTGGAGAAATGAAAAGTACATTATTTTTAATTAGATTATAACGTTTACATTAGGATTTGATCCAGTGAATGAAGTTTGCAAATACCACCTATCAATATTTAATTTAATTGATATGTTAGATCTGTATTTGATAGTCATCTCGGTTTACCTTCTACTTTTTAAGATGGCTGGTTATTTATGCGATACTAGTGTTTAGGCGAATTTTCCTTTCTGCATTGTTATATGAGAGCCCGAATGCTGTCGGCTGATTCTGTATTCTGACAGAGGCCATGACAGAACAGGGGTGGAGATTATTTTTTTATTTATGTCGGATCAACATCATGTGAGAGAGTTTCATCCCTTCAGTAAAAAAATTTCGGTTACTCCAGTATTTTCCATTCTTTACTCCATCATCAGAATCTCTGTCTGCCAAAGCAATAGCAATTTGAATTCCTACTTCTTCATTTATTATTATTATTATTATTAATGCAAGAAGCTTATTTTTGGCATGTGCTTGCATTTTTTTCCTCTTATTGAATTTTCCCTATCAAACATTTTCTTTATCCCTTTCTTGAACTTGGCAAGTTCTATTGGATGAAGTACTAATTTTGGGTATGAGAAGTTTTTTATAGGAATTCTGTTGTGAGTAACATAGTCTCTGTCACCTTGAAATTCTTAAGGAGAACCACATTGTACTCAGTTCTCACTAGTCACTGCTCAAATATTATTCACACCTTCATGAGCTGACCATGTATTATTATTTGCAGAGCCCCAAAGATATGGAGTTTTTTACAGAGCATGGAGATGCCAACAGATACAAAATTCTAGAGATTATTGGCAAGGGGAGCTATGGAGTTGTTTGTTCAGCCATTGACACACAGACTGGGGAAAAAGTAGCAATAAAGAAGATAAAGGATATTTTTGAGCATAGCTCCGATGCTATCCGGATTTTGCGTGAGATTAAGTTGCTTCGGCTTTTGCGTCATCCTGATATTGTTGAAATTAAGCGGATCATGCTGCCATCCTCCAGGCGAGATTTCAGAGACATTTATGTTGTATTCGAGCTTATGGAGTCCGACCTTCATCAAGTCATCAAAGCTAATGATGACTTAACACATGAGCACCACCGGTTTTTTCTCTATCAGATGCTGCGAGCACTGAAATATATGCATACAGGTAACTTTTCAGCATCCTTTTTTTTTTTTGGCAGCATTGGCTTGAACAGATATGCATACTTTGAGAAATTGCAATCTGGTGGTTCATAGATGAAGATACTTTGCCTCTCTTCATTTTGTCAGTTTCATCAGTGTTGTGTGTACCATTCTGACATTTCCATGTCTTTGATTCTCTCGTGTTTATCATGGAACACTCTAGTTAGAGTGTGGCTATCATATGGTTTTTATTTCTTATTTGTAAATCATTGATTTCAGCTAATGTGTACCATCGAGACCTTAAACCGAAGAACATATTGGCAAATGCCAACTGCAAACTTAAAATATGTGATTTTGGATTAGCAAGAGTGGCCTTCAATGATGCTCCAACAGCTATTTTTTGGACGGTATGTTATTCTTTAAACGCATCTTCATATAGTTTAATTAATGTTTTGGTATTTCATCCCATTGTCGGGGGATGTAAGTGTTGGTATTGTTCTCATTTCTAAAGGTGTCTGGATTCCTGTCATTTTCTGACTTTTCTGTCTCAAATTACAGGATTACGTTGCTACAAGGTGGTACAGGGCTCCTGAGCTCTGTGGATCTTTCTCCTCCAAGGTAATTATCATGTAAATGGTGCAGTGCTTTTTCCCTTTCTCGATATAGATCTGAAATGTGCCCGGAGCATGGTTGTATGTTTGTTTGCCCCCGTTTGGCCTCCATTCTTTGAGATTATAATTTTTGGAATAGTGTTTTTTTTTAAGAATGTGTGGTTAAAAAAAAAAAAAAAGTTCTGGGTTTACTTGTAATATTATTTTATTGGAAAATGTGTGGTTGATAAGAGGAGGGAGAAAAATGGATTATAATTTCAATGGGGACCAACGTGGGCTTTATGGATCATAACAACTTTGACATCATTCGTTGCCTATGTTAGTTTTGTTATTATATGTGCATGATATGGGTCAATAAAATATCTACTTAGATATGCTGATGGTTTCAACTTGTTTATTTAAATACATGTTGTATGTGTTCAGAGTGCCTTATGTGAGTAGTAATTGTAGATCAAAACAATTGTTGTTCAGGGAGGACTATTGAACTCTCTTGGAAGTTGATATTTCTGTTCTTCGAGGTAATTGTGATAGATTGCAACATTTCTGCCTGGGGGGAGGGGTTATTGCTGTATCATTTCTTTCGGTTCTTGTGAATCCTTCTTACGAGTGCTAATATGTCGCTTGCAGTATACCCCTGCTATTGATATTTGGAGCATTGGCTGCATTTTTGTGGAGGTCTTGACTGGGAAGCCATTGTTTCCGGGTAAAAGCATAGTGCATCAGTTGGATTTGATTACCGATCTTCTTGGGACACCATCAGCGGATACAATTTCTGGCGTACTGCACATATTCCTCTATACTTTGTATTTTCATGCTTACTAGTTATGTAGGGATATCGCCCTGAGATATTTTTTGTAACTGTCGTATTATGTCATGGATGCAGGTACGCAATGAGAAGGCAAGAAAATATTTAGCAGGAATGCGGAAGAAGCACCCAATGCCTTTTGCTGAGAAATTTCCCAAAGCTGATCCTGCGTCACTTAATTTATTGAAAAGGTTGTTAGCATTTGACCCAAAGGATCGACCCACTGCTGAAGAGGTACATTGTAATATAATGGCGTCACACAAGCTGCGTATATTTAGAATATGCATTACTAGATTGAGCTTTTCAGTTATACTATTCTCTTGTATTTATTTGGATTATTTTTGGTGTATTTGTATATTAGGCGTTGGCGGATCCTTACTTCAAGGGACTGGCTAAATTTGAAAGGGAACCTTCCTGTCAGCCAATCTCAAAGTTGGAGTTTGAGTTTGAACGACGAAGAGTGACAAAGGAAGACATCAGGGAATTGATATTTCGGGAAATATTAGAATACCATCCCCAACTGCTGAAGGACTATTTGGCAGGAAATGATGGCATGAATTTTCTATATCCTAGGTTTTCAACACTTCCATTCAAGCTTACCTATTTGCTTATAATTTTTAACCTTATATTACATGACTCTCATATAATAATGGATTTTTCTCTATGCAGTGCCATTGGTCATTTCCGGCAACAATTTGCCTATCTTGAGGAAAATGATGGAAAAAGTGGACCCGTGATTCCTCCTCAAAGAAAGCATACCTCTCTTCCGAGGTTGGTTCATTCATTTAATTGATCTAAAATGTTGTTTCGGTTATGCGTATAATCCTCATAAAATAATTCAATGTCTTTCTTTTATTTTTAAATGAGAAGTTGGAACTTTGTCTGGTAGAAATTATATATGCCCTCGTTTGTTTCTTATTTTTATAAGAATGAGAATGAAAAATATAGTTGTTACAGGTCCATACAAGAGATAGAAATTTAAATTTGGTGATTTGATGTGATTGATAACGGTCATATTTTTCATTTTAATGAGGAAATAATGTGAACCAAACAGGGGCTATATTTACAGATATGTGAATGCAGTATGAGATGAGGAACTATAGGCCAATTTTATGTCATCCATTTGTGTTCAAAATCACTGGATTCCGAAGTCCATCCTGGAGCAAACAACTGATTCGCGTCGCTTTGCATTTAAGTTTTAAAAATAAAGGTGAATTCTACCAGGGGTCCCCAACCTTTCGTGAGTGTGACACCCATGTCCTTAACCTACCATTTCTTGTAGTCAGAGCCTCAACATCTTAAACCTCTGGCGCCCATGTACCCAGCTAATGGAAAATATTTATTTGAACATTAAATATCCACGTGACACTTATGTGATGTCAAACTGAGAAGGTAAAATTGTCCAAAAAGGTTTCCTTTATTCCAAAGGAAATCAAATGGTGACTTCAATTTTCATGTAGAAATCCAAATAGGATGCAATTCCTTAATGTTTATGAAACATGACCCTATTGCTTCAACTCATCCTGACATTACGCGAGTGTTGCTTGGCCGTTTAAAGCTGGGACATGGTTACAACAAATGGTAGTTGAGGACAGTGGTGCCGAAGGTTGGGAACTCCTAGTGGAATTTACCCAAAAAATAATGTGAACGTGTTTTTTATAAGAGCTGTATGCAAATTGGATTAATTTCTCCTCGACAAATTAGTGCTTGAGCCACCAAATTGTCGTCAATCTATTTTTCTGAAATTTCTTACACAAGGATTTAGAAAATAAAGATAACTTGGCAGTTGCTTCCCTATCTTCCAGACTTCTTTAACTAGCCTCTTAAAATGTCTTCTGTTTTCATGTATATAAAATAATATTTTGTCATTTTTACTTGATGCAGGTCTACTGTTACCTCAAGTACTATACCTCCTAAGACACAACCGAATGCGTCTCTATTTGATAATCGTCAAAATACAAAAGCAATGGCCACTGGAGTTATTTCGGAGGTCATTTCTGGAAATCTATCAAAAGTTTCACAACCACCACCACATATGCCCAATGGTATTAAACATTATCTGCAAAATCTCCTTATCTGATCTTGTTACTAGCCCACCATGTAATATGAGATTAAGAACGTATCATAATCCCATGCTTCGATTACCGACAGAAGCTATAAATGCAGTATTGCAATTGAGCATGTGGAACAACGCTAACAAACACCTTCACTTCTATTTTTTTTTTCGGATAGTTGGAAAAAATTTATAAGGTGATGTTCAGTGAGTTCACATAGGCTCAATGAGAGATGAGAGGGAAGGGGATAGGATGTTGTTCGCGTACGGGAGGATCATATGCAATTTTTATGCTAAACAACAGTCTATGAATTGGTTTATGTAATCTGAATCTTACTCAAATTGAAATATGCTGTTTTTCCGTTTTCAGTAACATATCCTTTTTTTGTGCAGCCAAGCTGGGAAGAGTGGTGGGACCAGTTTTACCATATGAGAACGTCAGACACATCAAGGAGGCCTACGATGGGAGAGTATATGTTCAGAATGCGGCTCTTCCTCGATCAGTCTTTCCACATTTCTCTGCAGCTAACTTGGCAAAGAATCAAGAGAAATATCGGACTGAAACTGAGATGGAGTCATCACGAGGCAAACAAGAATCTCAGCAATCCATGCCAGTTAAATCAACAAATGACATGAATATTCCTCCAAAATTAACTCCAGGAGCGAATGTCAACTTAAATAGTAATACGTACTACATGACGCATTCAAAGGCAGGCCTACTGAACAGTCAACTTGCTTTAAACGTGAAAATGCTTCAAGCTCAATCTCAGTTCAGTGCAGCCGGGGCTGCTGCTCACAGAGAAGTTGCTGTTCAGTTTGTACCAACTTAGTAGCGGATCACTGAAATGATATTTTGACAAGGGAGCTTTCGACTTGGATAACCAAAGGGCACCAAAGATGAACAGTGTTTATGAATTGTGGGATGGTGTGAAGAAGATTATGTGAATCTTGTGCAGTAATCACCAAGAGAGTCATTGTCCCATAGTATATCTTGTTTGGTTAGGAAGTATATAGCGAGAAGAGAGTTTTTTTATTTAGTTTATGGAGAAGTATTGGCCCCCTGTAAATTTACAATCATTGTATTATTAATTTATATAATAAATATTTGTTATTCATGCATGATTGCTCTTTCATATTTACCATAAGCCAATTAAGCAATTTGTCAATTTTAATGTACATCAAAGATGTGTGGTGAATAAATCAGTAAACTTGGATGCCATTCAATAATTGCAAAATTAAGTTTATGACAAAGTTGACAATCTCCCCAAAGAGTGTGGCAAACTGAAGCATGGATGGTTAGGGGGTGGGTTGTCTATTGTTATTTTATATTTTTCCTATTGTTTTTTAGTTTTTCTTTATATATATTTTGTGGTTTTTTATTTTTCCATTTGTGTCCCTTTTTTTCTTTTTTTTTTTTGAACGTCGAGAATATTTCCCCCCCTCAATTTAACATATGTTTAAAAGGAAAATCATCTAAGGGGTGTTTGAACCACATTATTTTAGTAATAATGAATTCTTGAATAGTGTATTGATGGGAAATATGTGGTTAAAAAATAAGGAAAATTTTTTGATTTGCGTATAATATTATTTTATTAAAAAATGTGTGGTTGAAATGATGTCAAATCACTATTTAAGAATGCATTTTTTTGTAATAATGTTGCTCAAACAAGCCCTAAAAAGACATCTTTACTGTGAAAAGGTTGTGGACAAATTTGCTAGCTTTGTCTGATTTTCGCTTGATGAGGTCAAAGGAAGATGCAAAATTGCCAATATCATGAAAAGATTGAAAACAAGATCGCGTTTCGTAAACGACAAAGTAAATAAGAGAACAATCCCATATTTGTATCTTTAACAAAAAGGAAATGAAATTTCTTGCTTGGCAATTAACTCATAATTCGCACTATGATTTATTTAAGAATAATACAATTTACAGTTATTTATTATTATAGTTGTCTTACATAGCATACATGTGACAGTTAATAATTTGACATATGAAGCAAGAAAAACTACCACATTAGTACTTCAAATCACAAGGAGCCATGTAGAAAGTCACGTAGAACGACGACCACGGTGAGCGACTATGAATAGTATTATTCTTTATATTGAATCATAAATCCACACAAACAATCAGCTGTTTGCTAATCAGTTACAGTTAATACCATTCTTGCACATCTCGTGAAGATTTTCATTTGCTTCCAACGGTGAGTAATTGCCAACGGCTAATAATATTGAAATAACTGCATGTCCCACAAAACAAGAACACAAGAATCCAAGCCCAACTGTCGGTGATCCTCACATATTCATTCATGCTAAGTTCAAACATTTTTCTTCACATTTTTCCTTAATTTTCACATAGCACCTTTTCACTATTGTTACAGATTTTCAGAATCCATGGAAGCTTTATGGAGTATAGAAGACAAATTCAAGGTATCAACACAAAAGGCTGTTGCATTATTTGCTTGCACCTGTTTTCTAGTGATCTGTCTTTGCACAGCTACTGCTTTGAAGAGGTGGAGGAGGAAAGGAGCAGTGTATCAAGAACCATACACTGAGGCATCAACCACCACCACAACATGGGCTGAGCCGCCACGGCAGAGGTGGGGCTCGGTGAAGAAAGCGTTGATGAGCTCGGTACGGTGGAGCGGAGCGAGCAAGTGGGAACTGCAGTTCAGTGGGAGTGAAAGAGAGAGGCCTACGCCATTGCTTGTAAGAGGAAGCTGTGCAGGAGATTTAGGGTGGCAGAGTCATAATTCAACTTCACCTGTGTGGCAAAGGCCAATACTTATGGGTGGAAAGTGTGAGCTACCAAGATTCAGTGGCCTTATACTTTATGATGAAAGAGGGAGGCCACTTGATCAGTGTGAAGAAGGAAATATTGACAAACAGGTAACATAATTATGAAGTGTTTGGTAGGTTTGACTAATGCTTAATTTGGTATCTATCCTAAATATCGAAAAAATCAATCGACTAACATATTCTCTATTGGGGAATCCAGGAGGAAAAGGCTGCAGAGGTGAGAACCACACTGAGAGACTTGCTGTGATTGCCTATTTATTCTTGGTTGCTTATCTCTCTGTTGGACTAGGGGTTTGCCCTGTATTTTTGTAAAACTATATAAACAACGCGAATAATTATCTTCTAATGCGAGTTTTTAATTACTTTTTTCGGCGCGACTGAGAATCAACAACATTTTCCTAGTCTTAGGAGCAAGTATATCCTTTTGTCATGGTATTTAAAGTCAAAAACTAATTCTATGACTAAAAAGTTGCTTTTGAATGTGTGTGATTTTTTTTTGAAAGTGCTTTATTTGACTAAAAACTAGTCCGAAATAGCTTTCTCAAGAAGTTCTTTTACGAGAAGCCACATTCTGACAAATGGCCCCTAAATTATCCACACAATTTATAGGTGGCTTTTGTGTTAGGTCGAGAAAACTGTGGTATGTACCTTACTTGATAGTGTTGTTATTATGAAATTACGAATTTCATCTGGCAATCTATGTATTTTCAACCATACCAGGCTGGTTTAGATATTTGAATTTGATTAATAACATGGAAGGGGAACTCTATAAGGATGTACTAATAGGATTAAATCAGGGTTCAATGAAACTGAAAAGTGCTTTAAGGGATTTTAGTCAATAACCAAGTGGGATTTGAGGTTTGTATGTAATTTTTCAACACGTTATTGGTGAGTTGTTGGAGGATGGTGAAGAAGAAAAATCTCATCCACAGCCAAACAGCGTTCAATTTTTTCCACACGTTATTGTTCTCTGACTTACTCTCAGAATTAAAATTTGGATTACAATTAAAAACCAGAGTGAAAAACATTCTATACCTTGTTTGATCTAACTAGGAAGCAAATCGAAACAGGTTATGTGATTTATTTCCTATCGAAATCATAATTATCCATCTCGGAACAAAAAGTAGTATTTATTAGCTTGTTGATCTCGAAATCTAGAGGGAGATGTGGTCAACAGATCCCAACTTTCCTTCCATTCACATGTATGTTACATGTACACTTGGATAACCACATAAGACTGCATATGACTATTGCTTCAACATGTGTGATAGTCACAGGCACTCCGATTCTCAATTAAATCAGTGAAGAAGATACTTTGAATATGAGAGAAATTTAATGAATGAAAATATGCGTGTCGATTTTGAAGAGAGAATACCAAGCTTGCAAATGGAGTGTGGATCATGCATGACATCTTGCTTGGTCTTTACTAGTTGATCGTTACGTGGTCTGTATCGTAGGACGAGATGCAATAGAAACTATAATTAAAAATGCATGATTTTTTATTTATCGACCTCAGATTGGTCAGGTTCATCATTTTTGGTCAGCACAAATTTCTTCTTACATTATCTACCTTAATAAGATAATGTATGTGGACTTTTCCAATGAATTTGTCTTCGTGACGAAAATTTGACCTTTTTCATAGATGAAAGACCTCACTGCATATAAAAACCTCGTTACAAAACCCAATAGCCAATAGGTATAGATTGCAAAAGCACATCCCACAAGAATGAGGCTTAATCTCTACAAGCATGCTGTTTTCTATGCTCTCATTATAACCTTCATTATGTTAACGATAAACTCCGGATGTATATTCGGCCAAGCCAGAGTAACAAACTTTGGTGGGTCGATTCAAGGTCAGGTTCAAATGCTACGCTCCTCGTTTTTTACATGTTGATTCCATTTCTTCATCTTGACAAGCATGTTTCTTCGATGTCTTCCCCCCATTTTCCCTTTTCTTTCGGTTGTGATTTAATTCATGGCTTTTTCAATATGGCAGAAGGTCTCCCCCACCGCATCAATAGGGAGCTTCCACCCGGAGGCAATCCTTCTCCGGCAGCAGATCCCAATAGTCACGTGCATCACTAAGGCTATCGAATTAGACCTATAATAGAGGTTTATATTACATGCTTGTATTTTCTTTTTCTTTCGTTGAAATATGACATATATTGATGTGGTTTTGTAGACGTAGAAATAATTACTGAATTATATAAATCGTTGTGTTTCGTACTTTGTTTTCTATTTCTTCTCTTTTTGGCTTCTTCTTCTTTTTTTTTTTTTTTAATTTTTTGTATGATTCCCAAATAGTCGTCAAACAAGTAAGCTTACACCTTAGAGGAAGTAAGAATTAGCCAATGGGACTGGGAGTCCAATGAAATAATACTTTTTACACCTAATTTTCAACGATTTATCGCGAGACTCAGATCCACAAACTTGTGCTTGGTGCTTAGTCTGTTAGTTCGAGCCCAAAAACTTGATTAGTGATGGAAGAGAAAGAATACAATGGTGTTCAACGAGTAATTGAAGGGAATGACAATAAGATGGGTTTGGGCCATGGATCTCGTTCTCTCTTCGTTTATAATTTTTTATTTTAAATATTAAAAAAATCAAAACTTGAAAAAAAAAAAAAAACTCTATTATACTATTTATAGTACATAAATATAATAATGAAAAATTTATTAATCAAGACAAGAATGAGACGAGGACGTGATTAGGATCATTCTGAGTGATTGGGACCGTCACAAGCTCAGAGCAAGAATTTTTGTCTCATCTTGACATTTTCGTCCCATTACCAACCTCGATAATTAATGAAATTTTTTATCAATCATTTGGATTTATGACATGTTGACTAACATTCCACTTGATTCTAATTGATGAAACACTTTGTTTATTGTCATTATAAGGAAAAATAGAAGGAAAATTGGACAAAGAGATTAGGTAAATGGGATAATTTTACCTAATCTAGATTGCATTGGCATTTGGATAATCTAATGGTGTCATCATGAGAGGCGTTTCAAGTTCAGGATGACTCGCTCCATTAAAAATAGTGAGGCACCAACTAGGTTGAATTCAGATCGTTTCACGGCTTGATTCTTCATAATTAATGGGTCGTACCGAGATGTTCATGAGAACCAATCTCAATTTATTAAAAATGATAGAATGTAAAATAAAAATAAAAGAGTTATTGTGGTTATAAATATACATGCCTAACTCCCAATATGATGTGTTGATTCGATCCTTAGATTTGGAAGAGATTCAAACAAGATCGGGACCATATATTTTATATAGATGGACCACAATCCGGAATTTTGATGTTGGTTGCACCACCTTTCTATAATTTGTTTCCCATTCTTGATTGGCGATCGCGTTGACGGATTTGAAAGTTAAAATATTTTCTATTCTAGATTATATTAATTAATTAATTAATATGTTTCTTATTTTAGATTAATTGGCATTTATATATTTAATTTGTTTTCTATGTTAGATAAGAATAACAGTTGCACCGATGATTCATATTAACTGACGATTGTATGATTTGCATATTCTCTCGATTAGACTAGATTAGGCTCACAAATTAATTTTTAATTTTATCTCTATATGAGATTAACAATTCATTATTTTTTCCTATATTAATTGCATAATTTCTTCTCATATTAAAAAAAAAAAAAATTCTATTTTAGATTAGAACTACATTTGAATAATTAATTTGTTCTGTATTCTAGATTAATGTTATTTAATCCCACTAAGATCACAACCCCAATCTAGCTGGCGTTAACATGATATTAAATGATACGTAGAATTAAATAAATCATTTAATTTTACATTTAATTCAATATATCATCCGACGTCACTTAAACCGTGGTTGTAACTGAAGTGCGACTGCATAACATTATTCTATGTGTTATATCAAAATAAATAAATAAAAAAAAACAAAAAAAAAAAGACGAAGAAAAGAGAATAAAAAAGGGCAAAAAAA